TACTGAAGTCATCAGTGATTGTCAGAATGTACCTCTTGCCTCCATTTGAGGCTGGTGTGATTGGTCCACACAGATCAGCGTGGATTAACTGAAGCTTCTTGTTGGCTCTCCAAGAGCTTTGCTTTGGAAAACTGCCTCTGTGTTGTTTACCAATCTGGCAAGTGGAGCAGATTCCCAGATCACCTTGTATTTGAGGCAGGCCTTGCATAGCACCCTTCTTTTGCATCTGCAATAGACTCTGACAGTTCAGATGGCCAAATCTCCTATGCCAGAGATTCAGTGTGTTGCTTGCTTCCTTCTGATATAGACATAAATGATCCCCACTCGAGCTGTTTGTCTGCTTTTGAGAGTGCAGAACAAACATTCTGTTGGTTTTCATTGATGTTTGCAGCAGGAAGCCCTTTTCTTCTTGATAAATTCTGCAGATTCCTCCTTGAAACACAAATCTTAGCTGCTTTTCTTGTAACTGGCCAACACTCAGCAGGTTAGTTGTGAGCCCTGACACAAAGAATACATCACTGATGGATAGTGAGACTCCATCAACCACCAGTCTTATTGTGCCTTTTGTAGCAACTGCCAACTTGGTCCCATTACCCAGCTTCACATTGCAGTCATCAATGGCTTCCATTGAGGTAAACCACTGCTTTTCGCCACTCATATGATTGATGCAGCCAGAGTCCAGGAACCACCAGGTGTCCCTATGCTCAGAGGATTGTGTGTCCAGCAGTGCCATGGAGTTCTGTGCAATCATCTCCTCCTCCTTTTTCTCTTGCTTTTGCTCAACGAAAGCCATCAATAGCACATCTTCAGTCATATCATGGTAGGTGTTCTTAGATCTTTCAGAGTGATTGGTGTAGTATGTTTGCTGATTGCCCAGCCCAGTCGAGATGATCCTCAAGTCTGCATCATGCTCTGTCATGATGAATGGTTACCCATCAGGCTACTTTACTCCTTCGAGGGGACTCCGCCAGGGGGATCCCCTTTCTCCGCTGTTGTTTTTCCTTTGTACTGAAGGGTTTGTGGCCCTCCTGCGGAAGGCAATATCTGAAAAGAAGCTGGCGGGGGTTAAAGTTGCCCCTCGGGCCCCACGAATCTCGCACCTATTCTTTGCGGATGACTCGTACCTCTTCCTCCGAGGTACGCTCCAAGAATGTGAAAACCTGTTGGAGGTTCTGAATGAGTATGAGGAACTGAGCGGGTAAAGAGTAAATTTGGAGAAATCGGTGGTTTGCTTCCAATAAGAATATTGCCCTGCCAGATCAGGAGTTCTTAGCGGCGATTATGGGGGTTGGGGCGGTGGGGGTCCATAATAAATAACTGGGGCTTCCGACCCTTATTGCGCATTCTAAAATGGAAACATTCCGGTACTTGGAAGAAAAATTATTGGAGCGGCTCCAAGGGTGGAAACAACGAACTCTCTCTTGGGCAGCGAAGGAAACTCTGATAAAATCAGTAGCCTTGGCATTACCGCTGCATGTGATGTCCTGCTTCAAGCTACCGTTGTCTCTATGCCGCCTTCTGGATAAGCATTTAGCACGGCTTTGGTGGGGGGAGAATTCGAATACCTCGAAGGTGAGGTGGATGGCCTGGCGCGACCTGTGTCGAAGTAAGCATGATGGGGGGTTGGGATTCCGCCGGTTTGAGCATTTCAATCAGGCTCTCCTCACTAAGATTGGATGGCGTATCCTCTGTGAGCCTCAGTCACTGTTAGCCCAAGTTTATAAGGGGAAGTACTTCCCTACGGGTCACTTCCTTAATGCTCAGGCCCGTTCTCGCCCTTCTTGGGGGTGGCAGAGTATACTATATGGACGTCGACTGTTAGAGATGGGGTTGCGGTGGCAAATTTGTAATGGCCGCGCGGCTTCCATGCTCCACTCTACGTGGGTCCCTCAGAATCAGTTCGAGCCCCTTAGGTATAATCCTCAGGTTTTATCGGAAGGGGGGGACCCGTTGGTTGCTGAGCTGATTTGCCCGGGAGAGGGACGTTGGTCTGACATGAAACTGTGCCAATGGTTTGACCCTGCTACTTGTCGTAATATAAAAGCCATCCCACTCCCCAAAGGAAATGTGGAGGACAAACTTATTTGGTATGACACGGCTGATGGGAAATTCTCGGTGAAGTCGGCTTACCACTTGGCTGTCTCCCTCGAGCGGAGACGAGGAAAATGGAAAGCGACGGTTGGCTGGATGGATAGGGCAAGTTGGATGCGACTTTGGAACGCCAATATACCACCAAAGATGAAAGTATTTGTATGGCAGGTGTTTAACCGGATCCTCCCTACGACGGAAGCCCTAATCTAGAGAAGTATCCTGGTGCATCCGCGGTGTCCGGTCTGTTGGGATAATCCTGAAACATTGGAACACTTGTTCCTGGATTGCCCGGTGGCACGAGCCCTGTGGGGGGAGGCTGGACTGGAACATTTAGGGGAGGGTTTACCCCGTCATACGTTCCCACTCTTCCTCAAGAAATTGTTGGCTTTAATTGATCAGCCTACGTTGTTTATGGCAGTAGTGGCCATTCTCTGGCGCATATGGAGATCTCGGAACTGGGTGGTTTTTGAAGGTAAACAGTATGGGGTCGCTACGTTGATGAGACAATATACTCAACAGTATGAGGAATGGGTGAGGCTTCCGAGTAACAGACATCCTCCAACCTATGCCCAAACAGCTCCCCAATCGGCCCCGGATGAAGCATCGGAGATCGTTTGTTGTTGGGATGGGGCTACGCGGAAGGGTTCACACTCGGCGGGGGGCGTGGTGCTCATGTCTCAGAGTCAGGGTGTCCTGTGGGCGGCAGGGGTCCATTTCCCAGCTATGGATGACCCTCTCGTTGTGGAGGTGCTCGTCCTCCGTGAGGCGATTCTGTGGTGCCTGGGGTAGGGCCATACGAGGGTGAGGTTTGAAGGAGATGCCAAGGTGATCATCGACAAAATCAACCAGGTTGACACAAGGGACAATAGGGTGGGGGCTAAGCTAGAGGAAGTGACGCAGTATTTTGCTAGTAATCCTGGGTTTAGTGTTCGATTTATAGGCCGGAGTAGCAATAGGGTAGCCCATTTGGTGGCTAGAAAGGCCCTCTCTTTGTACCCGGCAATGCTTCGTTTCTTTGACTTCCAGGCCTGGCTGATTTCCAGGGTGTAACTATCTTCGTCTTTTGATCTAATACAAGATTATCTTTTGTCAAAAAAAAAATTTGTTTAATAACAACAGCGTGTTCATACCAATTTTAACTGCCTTACTATGAATTGGAACTAGTAACTAACCAAGAAACAACTTACTGATCAATGGAATTGGGGTTTTTTCTAGAAATAGCACCATTTAAATTTTATTTACAAAAATAGCACCCAACCCACACAAATTCCAAAAATAACACATTTTTTTCAAAACCGCACGACTGAGGTGCGGTTTACATGGAAACCGCATCGTGAGGAAGCAGTTTGAATTGCTAGGCCAAAACCGCAGCTCTGAAGAGCGGTTATATGTCTGACCTAGCAGAACCGCATCTTGACCATGCGGTTTGTTGGCTGACCTAGCAGCACCGCATGTTAAGGCAGCGGTTTTGTTTCTCCAACACAAACCGCATCATCCTCAACAAGCGGTTTTGGCCTAGCCGACACACAAAACACACCCCTTGCAGTTTGTGTGTCGTCCCCATTTTTCGACATCCAACATGTTGCCATGCAGGTTTATAGAGGTGGGTCTGCATGGCAGATGAAAACCGCTCCCTCCCCCTCTGGTTTTCAGTGTTGATTTTGCCTATAAAAGGCACCCCCGGGAAACCTGTTCTCTTCACCCCTCTCCTTCTGCTTCTTCTTCAATTTTCTGTTGTAGCATCCTACTTTTTTATTGTTTTTGCGATTAACGTTAACTCGTTAAATTTATTATTGACGTACAAATTATCACGAATCTAATTTCCATCATATATCTGACGTGATCTCTACCAAAATTATCGATCCGGTTCCAAATAAGAGCAATTGACACCTCAACTTCTCCATAATAAAAAGCTTCTACCTTTTAGCATATTTGTAGTAAAAAAAAGTACACGGTGATGTTGAATAGTGAGTACTACAACTAAGTATACCATTTACATATACACATCCAGTCTTTGTTCTACATCTCAATAATGCATGTGTACACATCATATCCATCGATGACTGACCTTCCCATACATCTCAATAATGCATGTACACAGTCTTGGTTCTACATCTCAACAAAAGGCGCCCGCCTTTTCCAAACTTTTTTCAGAAATACCACTGTTTAAAAAAAATTACAAAAATACCACCCAACTCCGAAAAATTCCAAAAAATTACATCATTCTTTCTCGAAAACCGTTGGGTGGGGCGCGGTTTTCGAACAAAACCACTTGGGGTAGGGGGTGCATGAACCCAACCCACGTATTTAAGAAATCGCAAGTCCGAGCATGAACCCAACCCACATATGCAACCAAAGCTACAACCATAAATATATCTATTGACACAATAACATACTCATGAAGTATACGATATATTACAAATACTTGTAGTGAGATGTTTTTATCTAAACTATACATTAAACCAAATACGAAATATAATCATATGTTCCAATATTTAATAGATAAACTCAGTGTCCTGTTTCTCTAAACACAAACTCGAAGATCAATCTAAAATAAAATAATAATCAACAACTCAATTAATTCATTGAAATACAATAAAGTAGATCCAACGACCAGATCATTTGAAATATGATATTACCCAATGTTAGTCATTATCATCTATATATACATATTACATGTATAGTCGCACACACCCATATACATACATTTACAACACAGTAGGAAGTCGTCATAAATACATGCCAAAAACATGAAGGGTATTAATATTCAATTGCACTGAACAACATAACCCCACAAAGTCAGTCCACACGTAAGATTCCCTCCCTCCATTAATATCCCTGCAATTCATTAATCCCCTCCCTCTTCCCCTCGCATATATATATAACAACCTTCCCTCTCTTCCTCTATTCAATCTCCACACCACAACCTCTCACCTTCCCCAGCACGCCTCCTCAGCTCTCTCCCGCCATTGTCAAGCAAAAAACACCATACGCGTACAAGTTCAACATCAACATCAACATCATATCACGTTGGAAATGGGCAAAATCCATCCCATCTTCTCCACCTCCTCCGCCGCCGCCGCCACCGCCACAGCCTCACCTTCACGCGACGTGACTTCGACGACGGAGACGTTCACCATGTGGATGAAGTCCCTGGTGATGAACGGCAACGGCTGCACCATCTACGACCAAAACGGCGCCGTCGTATACCGGGTCGACAACTACCAGAAGAAGGGCTGCCGCGAGGTGTGCCTCATGGATCTCAAGGGCAACATCGTCTTCACAATCCTCAGAACGGCTCCCTTACTACTGTGCCCGTTTTTATCAAGAATGTGGAAGGGCTACAGATGCGACGAGGAGACGGCGTCGTTTTGCGTCGCGAGGAGGACGAAGAGGTTATTCGCTACGGGTTTGTGTTGCGAGGTCGTGGGTTGCGACGGTCGGTATAAGATGGAGGCGTCGTCTGGTGGGAAGCTGACGGCGTTTAAGATAACGGACGTGGTTAGCGGGGGAGTGGTGGCGGAGGCGAAGAGGAAGCACTCGACGTCGACGGCGGGGACGGGAGTTTTGTTGGGAAACGACGTGCTGACGTTGGTGGTTGGGGCGGGGGTTGACCGGTCGTTTGTTATGGCTCTGGCCACCGTCTATGGCTTGATGAGCAGCAGATTGTGATGATGAACGGTCGTGATTTGTTAGGCTTTTTTCTTCTTCTTTGTTTGAGTGAAGACTGAAGAGGGAGGATGAAACTTTTTTTTTTTTTTTTTGGCCCATTTTCCGATCTGGAAATGGAGACAGGAAGATGGGTTTCATTGTAGGCTTGTAGGTGTGAGATGGACAAAGAGAAACAGAACAGATAGGAAAGTGAAGAAATCAATACAAGAATTGAGCTGTAGTTTTGTACAGGTGTTCTTCTTTTGATTGATACATGAAATTATACTTTTGTCGTAAAAATAAATTGGACACCTACTAAAAGGACCGATCCTATTAGTGAATTTGTTCCAAATGTAGGTAGGAGCTTTTTCCAGAGGATTGTAAAATTGTAACAAGAATTGTGCCGGAAAAGTAGGTTGTTTTTGGTTCAATCGTTTCATTCTGCAAAAGAATTGTTTATGCTTTAGCCTCTTATAGGAGGTTTTTGTTATTAGACTGCAAGTACAGTACGGTTTCACAAACATTATAAAAGTTCTTTTTGTGGGTAGATGGTCAAGAATAAGCTTATGTTAGGAATCAATCTACCCATTAATCATTATTTGTAAAGATGGATTTCGTTATAAGGGTGACAAATGTTTTCGAGAGAATCCAAATGAGATGATGAATATAAACGATGAAACCTTTCATATATGAGTACAAGATCTTAGCAATTCGACTTATAAGTTACATTTTTGTTGAAATGCAAGATCTTAGAGAACCTAATGAGATGATGAATATAAACGATGAAGACTTCCCTTAGATGAGTATACAATCTTAGAGGACTTACGAGTTACAATTTAGTTTTCATTAGTTATTATAGGGTTTTCTCTCAAATCATAAAAAAATGCAGAGTCGGAAATTTTGTTCTATGAAAAATAAATATAAAAATATTCAGTTGTTAGTGTAATGATCTAATCACAATTAGGTGGAGAAAAGGATGAATATCGACGGAGAAGTTCAAAGAAAGAGAAAACAATTATTTCCAAATAAAACTTAATAAAATATAGTTTATTTATGCAATTAGCTATTCTGTACAACTCAATAGGCATATCTTCTGACAAAATTTATTTGAAAGGAACTGCATATTCTGACCTGTCAAACATAAAATTCGGTGCCAATAAAATGTCGGTAACTAAAACAATATTGATTAATTTTGTTTGACGTCAGAAAAATATTCTGTGTTTACAGATACGTGGATGTAAAAATACTTTTAGGATAAATACAACTACCTAGCCCAACCTTCAATCATTTTAAATTATTAGCAAAAAATTTGGAACTACAAAATATTAGTTAAATCTTTTGTAAGGCATCAATTATTAGTCATTTGTCTGTTTTTTTCTTACAACAAGACAACCATGGATAATTTTGTAATTATTTTATTATTTAAAATACTAAAATTTGGAATGTTGACGATCGCGTTTCTCTTACAAATCAGTATTATGTTGTCAAATCAATATTACTAACAAAATTGCTAACGAGAAGTTAACATTTGGCTAATATTTTGTATTTTGAAAGATTTGACTGATAATTTGAAAAGTTTAAATTCAGGTTCTGGATTATCATAACCGTCGATTATTGTTTCTAATTAAATTGATCTTGGAGTATAAGATTTAGAGAATTAAGACCTAGATTTTGATCTTTAAGGGTTATAGTATAGTATCATGTCCGAAAGATCAGTCAATTCAAGTTCTAGAAAGCGTTTTCTTACTTAAGGTATACGGTACCCCGGATTTCACCATGGTTACCGTAGAACTCCCCATATATATATTTATTTATTTATTTCATGAGACAAGCTAAGCTGAGTACTCCAGACATTATTAATATTCTTTGACATTTTATTGATACTTATTCTTCTATTTTTTTCTGCCTACTTTACTTTCTTTACGATTTGAATCGGGAGCAATCGGACGGAAAATTTGAGGATTTCAAATCGAGATTAGATGCATACAATTTTCAAATATTTATATCATTACCGTATGACTATTCCAAATCTCGGTTCTCTGTTGACTTGCCTTTGCCTTCTTGGCGATTAAGCTTTTTGTGTGGGATTTGATTGAGCTGTATATGGTTTTACGATTCAGTTACCCTTGTTTTTCTATCAAATTCCTGGAGCTAGGGACACAATTCCTTGGTATCTTTTTCTCTCACTTTCTAATGTTGCGTTTCGTGGTGATGCGCATGCAGATAATCATTGAGATGGGGGAACAACTCAAAATTAAACTTTGAGAAAATATTTCTACCAAGAATGTTGGTGGGGGAACAACTCAAAATTAAACTTTGATTAAATATTTCTACCAAGAATAGTAATGAACAATATTGTAGTTGTTTTGAACTCCGCGATGAGCTGACTTGATTGTTAATGATTAGTGATAATGTTGGTCTTTGCGCCACCTCTATAACTGTAAATCAAACAATTTAGAATTGAGGTTTTGATCAAAGAGAAGAAGAATAAGAGACGTGCTGTTCATTAAGCCTTAAGCGTTTGTGCTGATAAGTGATAACACTTGTCTTATAATTAACAACATTATGTCAACAACAATGATGATTAAGGAATTATATTATTTTAAAATGGTAAGGGAGGCAAACTAGTGACCGAGAGGTCCTAGGTTCGATCCTCACTGCTGTCATGGTGTTCCCGAAGGCACCCCACAATTGCTCGGACTGCTGGCGGAGGTCTCGAGATTTGGCCCGACTACGGCATCACCAAAGGTGGCGACCGTGGAGGCTGTTCCTCTTCATAAAAAAATATTATTTTAAAATAGGAAGCGTTTTTGGAAAGTGTTTTGGTGAAAGCCAAATAATTCAACCATTTGAATTTCCAAATCTCAACTAGCGAAAGTGAAAGCAATGGATCGTATTGGGTCGATTTCTCACCCGGACCGTCCCGACCCCACGAGTGAATAGAAAGTTGGATTTACTTCGGATCTCACCTAAATCGCCACATCTATCCTCCTTAGTAGAAGTTTAGTTTCAAACCCCTGTCCGAACATGAGAAGTACACCATGCTAATGTGCCTTGGATGATCCACATCCCCGGGTCAAGTGTTGATGAGCACATTGAACTATCCATGTCGATGAGAGCCCGCATAGCCCAGGCACAACGACAACGAAAAGAATTGCTCTCGACGAGAACGAAGGAACGGAAAAGGAAAAGAGAAAAGGGAAAAAATGAGAGCTAAGCCGCCCAAAGGCCTCTGCATCTAAAAAAAAGAACACCATCACTGAAATTAGAAAACAATAAACCACAAAAGAGACCAGCAAACACAGCTAAGCACTCTAACACAAAAGTTGCAGCCGATCTATGCCAACACAAGTGGGCAACAACCAGAACCAACAACCCTAATTCTGAAAAGAAAGTTATCATCTCAGCCAGCCAATACTTTGATCTCTATTGATCTTCTTATGCGCAGCCAGCCACTCAACCGAAACTCTGATCGCTTTAAGAAACACGACTCTAAGATTGTTGTTGGTATCTTGGAAAATGCGATTGTTCCTTTCTAACAAAACCTGCCAACAAATAGCATGGAGAGCACAAAACCCCTTCAATAGTTTGATTTTGTTGGATTGTGTTTACAATTAGGGTTGTTAGCGGTGTGATTTCGGTTTTAACCGCGCCACAAAGTCGGTTAGCTGATGCCGATGAAGAGTAGAAATCAGCAACTACCACCGTCACCGCAAGCTCTGGCGGTTAGCCGAAAACTGAAACCATTTGCCTCGGTTTGGTGAAGCGGTTAGCTGATAACCGGCAGCAGCTAGCTAGCTTCACGGTGAAATTCATCAGCGACAACTTAAGGCATGACGACGAGAACTCTGTTTCTGACAAGGACAACAGACTGACAAAGGCGGAGGACAAGACAACGACTAGACGAGAAGAAGAGGTCGATTGGGCGCAGGCGGAGTAGGGGGATGAGTTGACGACGAAGGGGATTCACGCTGCGGGGGATAAGATAAAACAGGAGAACAATTGTATTGGCCGCCGATTGAGTTTTGCTGGGCGTTGGGGGTGGGGTTTGTCAATTAGGGTTATTTGCTTGAGGATATCGGTTGTCTATGCGATGGAATGGATCGAAACTCCAAATGGGAGGAGCAGGGCAAATCGGCAGAAGGGAATGAGTAAGTGTTCGGAGAAAAGGGATGGGGAAGTCGGGCAGGGGCGATTGAGGATGTTGAGGGCGACAGTCCCATGACTGGGTGTCTTCCTCGCTTCCCTTCTCCACTTGGGAAGTCGTCACCGGCCAATTTGAAGAAGAAGGAGAGGATCTAGGAGAGAGGTTTTAGTGGGCAAAGGGCCGGTGCACCATTGCGTTTATCGGTTATAAACCGACAACTGCACGGCTAGCCACAATACCAAAATGCCATAACCGCCACCGCTAACCGCAGCTGTTAACCGGTTAGCGGTTAGCCGACTAACCGCGGTTATCGGTTCGGTTTTGCGGTTAGCCAACTAACCGGCAACCATTTAACAGTCCTATTTACAATTACACAAGAATGAGATTCATCGAAAATTTTGGATGGACCCAAAATTAAAAAAAATAATGAGAAATACATCTCTAACATGTCATACTCAACAACCTTTGCTATTGTTTTTCCTTGACCATAATGACACCCTTAGGTTGGTCAATCAGTCCAAGTCACTTTTGAGGCCAATAGCCCCGACCCCTAGAAGGGCAATAATGTCAATCACTCTTCGACCCCTGTCTCGCATAACACCTCCAAGGTTAATTACTTCGCTTAGTAATGGGTAAATTCAAAATATTTTAAATATAATTATAAATTAATCAATATAAAGGACAAAGAAAAACTCATTCGGCCAAGGGCGGAGTAAAAGCTAGTTGCTATTCACCTCCAAAACCCCTTCAATTGCAATTTCTCTGGCTCCTGCTCAGTTGGCAGAGAGACATTTAAATAAAAACAATATTTTAATTGACATGGGATGTGGAAAGCAGAAACGGCAGGATAGATGGAGCTTTTAATTCGTGTATTGTGTAGTGTGTAGGCCATGGAAAGCAGAAAAAGACAAGGAGGGTTTTTTAATATGATTCAACAAGTCCATGCAATTTACGGTATGGCTCTTATACACATCCATAACTCTTAGATAAAATACATATTTTTTGGCTGCTAGTAAAGAGCATAGAGAGTAAGTAGCAATGGCAAGCAGGCCCATTATATGAGTATTGCCCAAACCCATATAATAATGAC